AACAAAGAGCAACTGTTTCGGCCGTAAATGTTTTTGCAGGCAACAAACAATTATACGTATTGCCACACGATACGGTGGCGGGGGAGGGACGGCAAACGGAACGCGGCGGTGTCGTTGTCAAGACAACCCACTGCCAAAGCAATTGACAAGTTTTTCAGGTAAGCACCCAAAACAGAAAGGAAAACAGCAAGAAAACTCTCAAACATAAAGGAAAAATCCAGCGTGAAGGAAGGAAGCAACAAGACGACAACAGCAACAACAACAGTTGAAGGACTCTTCCTCCAGCACCTGCACAAGGAGCGGAAAATTGTCAATGCAGTGAGGCAAGTGCAGCGAGGATTCCGCAGAAACCCAAGCGACAGGCAGGAAGTGGGAGGAACTACTTGAAAGCATTTCACAGCTGGAAGGCAGGCGACAGGCTATGGCCATGAACTACTACGACGAGGAGATCACAATCGGCAGCGGCGGAGGCGACTCCAAGCATCTGAGCAGCGTTCAAATGGAGCCTCGAGTCGGTGCGGCAATTGGGCCCAGAAGAAGTGGCACTGGAGCAGGAGCCACAGTAGCAGGAGCTGGAGCTGGAGCTGCAGCCGAAGGCAGAGGTGGACAAAGAGCAGCAGCAAGCAGGCATCGAAGAATGGTGAGTACTTGTGGTAATGAGTGGGGGGTGCGGGAGCGAGGCACTTGCTAAATGGCATATTGTGGAAATGAGAGTCTTGAGAGGACAAAGCGGAGTACATTTCGCAAAAGAAAACTCATTGAAACTCCAACAATAAAACCTCGAAAATTGTCTTTGTTTCTAGCTGAACATTTGTCCGCTTGTCATTTTGGAAATGTATCGCATTGCAGTTATTTCCAATGAAGCGTAGCTGAGAATTTTTTATATTTTGCAAACCATTTAAACTTGAAACTTTAAAGACATCAATGGCTCCTCATTAGTATCAAGAAATAATACAAGTGCGTTGCTGATCTTGCTATCTACAGATATTATCCTTGCATCCTTTCTCCACGAGTTCATTCAACATTTAAGCTATAGACCATTTAGCTCTGCTCGCTACAATTATGCATCCCCAGCTATCTCAAATGCCACTGCACGTTGCTAACATTTCTCTTTCAAGCAGCTTGCGGGCAACAACTCCACCGATGATGATGGTCTGCTGCAGGACATCATTGATCACGATGACGAGGCGGAGGACAGCGATGAGGACGATGATGACAGCGAGATGCAACTGCCCGATGGCATGAACATGGCCATGACAAGGCCCCAAACGCGACCTGGTAGCACGCGGAATGCCAAGAATCATCAGCCGCAGGACGATCAAATGAGTTCGGGCAGCGATGAGGCAACACTGGGTGGAGGAGCAGTGGGTGGAGCACCAGGCCCTGGGACCAAGTTGCCGCATCACAAACTGGCGCTGCCCATGCAGCAGCGACGCAGTGCGGGTCAGGGCGGTTCGGAGTCAGGCCAACGACAGGAGCCGTCCTTCAATCTGACGCCGGACAAGTGGGAGCAGCTGCCACTACAGCAGGACCTCAAGGACATATTCCCCTACATACTAAAGTACACGCCGCAGACAATTGACACGCCCTTTCACCTGCAGCCGTTCATCCCGGAATTCGTGCCCGCCGTGGGCGATGTGGATGCCCTGCTGAAGGTGCAGGCTCCGCCGCTGCTCCAGCCACAGCGTCAGCGGGAGCTGGACGAGCACTTGGAGCGGCTGGGCCTGTGGCTGCTGGATGAACCTTCGGGCACACAGAGCGAACCCAGTCTGCTCAATATGAAACTACGTTCGGTGCTGAGTGGCAGTCGAGGGAGGAATCCGCGGCACGCTTCATCGGCTGCGTTGGTGCCCACCGCGAGATCGGCCAAGGACATTGACAAGTGGATCGGGGAGGTGGAGCAGGTGCACATGACCCAATCCATGTACGATGCCCAGCCGCGCAAGGACATTGACGCACTGCTCGAGGACTGGCCACGCTCGTTTGCAGATGCAGAGACAAAGGATGTCCTGGATGAGGCGTACCGCTCCTGCCTGCAGCAGCATCTGCCGTTGGCCGAATATGTGCGAGTGCTGTGCGAAAGGTTCGGCATCGAGGGACCCCTGGACTCCCAGGCCGATTACATACACAATGTCCAGACGCTCTTTGCCCTGTACCTGGCCGCCAGTCAGGCCTGGGAGTAGGTGGAAAATTGCAAATGGCATCGCGGGCGATGAGGACAAGGCTGGAGGTGGAGCTGGGCACCACTAATAACGCTAATGGCTTCGATTAAGTGACAGCCAGACGCCGTTTGTTTGCCTTTGCTGGTCCCCCGCCACGCAGAATGCCACGGATGCCACGGCTGGTGGTGCTACATTCACATCGGCATTCGCATCGGCTTTCTGCTCTGTTCTATTATGGCATTAAATCGTTTGGAAAATGGTCAGCCCATAACTTGGTTGTTTGATGTGGGAGAGATGACAAGGGGAAATGGGAATGGGTGGGCTTGGCTTGATTAGAGGTGAAACGGAGTACCATTTCTGGCGCGGAAATGTTTGCTTTGGCTAATGAGGGGCACCAAACAACTACTTAGCTGCATTTACATCTGTAAATGACGGAGCAGGCAAACAAATGTGATAAGCGTAAGTTCCAGATTGCTTGTTAATATTGGAGGGTGTAATGTGAGGGGAAATACGGATAAATCTTTAAACTCTTCTCTCTTACCTTTTGGGCAATACGATTATGCCATTACGTTTTCATTAGATGCATTTGCAGTCGACGATTTCGTGGTTACGATAAACGGGATAGCGAGGCTGCGTAAACGCGTGACGATTTTCGAGAGAACGATTAACGAAACGAAAATTACACCATTCCAAGCACATTTCAATTACAGCACATATTTTTGGTAGATTAATATAAGGTGAGACATTAGCACTGAATTTCGTGTGGAAGCACTTACGGTGGGCGTCAGATCACTAAAACCTCACCCCACCACCATTATTTACATACACACGCACATTTACACACATTGCCAGAGATCACTTCGCCGTAAAAAAAAAGATTTACATGCATTCACATGGACCATACATACATATGTATGTATGTACATATGTATGTTGTACATCAAATGCAAAATACACTTTTAGCACTCCACTTTCACTTATTTCCATATTTTGTCTTCGACGATTCATCTCGATCAGGAACACTTTCTTGCCATTTTTCGGCCTTTCTTCACTGCCCCACTACACTGCACCATTTCACACTACACTGCACTACACTATTGCACCAAAACCCTGCACTTTTGCACTACACAACTGCGCGACACTTTTCCCGGTGGATTTTTCATCCATTTCCCGATTTTCGCGACCCGAAACGCGGAGCTGACTTAAAACCACGCGCTTTGTGCGACCGAAAAATTGAAAGAAAGATCTGCATGCGTGGGAAGCGTAGCTTCTAGAACATTTCATGCTCTCTTTGTAATTGCTCTCTCGCTTTTTGTGTTTTCCCTCTCCTACTCAAAAAAGTAAACGTTTGTGTGTGGCTAATCCAACGGTGAATGTTGAGAAGGGGATGGTGCTGTGGGTTGGAATGTGTGTAAGAGGGGAGTGGAAGCAAAGCAAAACCGTATGTTCTTCTTATGTGTGAGGAAAGAAACAGCAAATACAGCAAAAAACAAAAGGGAAGAGGAAAGAAGCCAAGAAATATTACTCCACTAAACCTCTTTAGAGCTCTAAATATTCAGATATTTAATTGAAAATTCAGTAAAATTAAAGAAATAAGAGATCAAACAGGGAAACACATCTGGAAAAATTAAAAATTAAAAGTGCAGCTGTTCCTCTCCTCTTGTGTGTCACACTTTTGATATAAATGTTCATATGCCCAGTGGGCAGTCGCAAGAAGACGAAAATCATCCTTGGGCTATAGACGACGACACACAGGGAGTTCAATGAATGGAGCAGCAGCAGCTCTTTATATGAATCTGCATGGCCATATGAAGTTCCGGCAAAAAGGATTAAACGTTTTCTTTTTGCATACTTATGCCGGGAGGGGGAGGGATGGGCGGCAAGCCATCATCGCCTTAACTCGTAAACCAATCATGCACTTCATCGCACAGACAACAGCAGCAGGCACAGCAGCAGCAGCAGCAGCAGCAATGCAAGAGCCAAGAGATGCCTAATTAGGCTCGCTTAAGACAACATTCGAGCAGGACACTGGACTCAGTAGCAGAGAGCCAAGCAGGCAACGGCCTTAATTATGCGTAAGCCGTAAAGAGCCCATTAATGTCATTTTCGTTGCATTTCCCGGTCAGGTCGGTGGGCGTGATAGCCGCATGTTTGATTAACAGACACGTCTGGTGTGTTTTCGACGTGTGTTCCAGTCCATTATTCTGATAGGATTCAGTCTTATCTGGCCTCAAGTAGCAAGTTGTCTTGTGTCTATGCGATTCTCTTTGGCATTTTAATCGCATTTAGACGAAGATGTGTAAACATGTGGAGTATTTGGGGTATACTTAAAATCTTAGGAGTATTCATTGTGGATACCATATGGTTATTAAATATTTTATTGCTCTTAAGCTATTATTTATTCAAAAACAACAAAATGTCCCTTGTAGAATTTAAATTCCCGTTGACAAAATTAAGGACATTTCACTTCCACCAGATGGCTCTTGCACAAGGGGGAACATTTTTCAACAAATTTATACATTTCCTCGACAGGACCATGTAGACCTTGAAAAATTTTCATTTGATAAAACTTTAAAAAACCTTATTTGGTAAGCAACCCAAAAACAAGTAAGGCCTTAAAACTTTCCAATCTTGTGTGGAATTCATTCATCAATCAGATAAAATTATATGTTAAGGGCTGAGTGGCTTATCCAGCTAATAATGTTAAAGCGAACATTGAAATCGAGGAATATGATAAGTTTGAATGAACACACATCGGTATATTTATAAACTGAGACGGTATACTTCAGTATTTTCTGAAGGTAGAAGCGGTAAATGTTAACGATAAATCCACGGTCACACTGCTTAACAAGTTGTTTATATTTTGTAAATTCTGATTTTTTGCCATTTAAAGCAAATAATATGGCAGAATCGACTGAAAGCGAACTGGTCAATGCCAGCTGCAAGTACTGCCAGCTTAAAATAGACGATGACAACTATCTGGAGTGCGAGAATTGCGATGAACTGGTGCACATCAAATGTCTGCACACGAGCACGCCTGGCGATTTGTTTGGCGACATTTACTTTGATTTCACGTGCATAAAGTGTGCGGAGGAGCAGCTGAAGCAGCAGGGTGCTCCCTACACGCACAATGAGGTGAAGGAGCGTTGTGAGCGCCAGAAGATACCCTGGCTAATGGTGCTCACACTGACGCTGTACAATTTGTCGCACAAGCAAAAGGGCTTGGGCCATCACGGATTCTTCCACTGGCGCACGCACATCATAAGCTTTGTGGATCGCAATTGGCACTACATATTCGGTCCGAATGCGTGAGTAACTACAGCCTACAGCCTTGACTGGAAGACTCATGTGTAACTCCTTTGCTTATCACCATCCTCAGGCGGCGTCGCAAAAAGTGGACTGGCAGCGTTTCGGGCACTCTCTCCCACAACAGCCCCAAGTACTTCTTGTCGGGCATGGAACAGTTCAATGAAACTGGCTGGTGGAAGCTGGCTCAGCCAAATCAAACACCCAGAAGCACCAAGCGTGAATGTGAGTTGAGCTTTTCATTGGTTTTCCTTTGGTTTTTAACATTTTCCTTCCTTTTGCAGACGAGAAAAAGCTGGAAGAGCGCGTGGCTATGCGATTTGATAAACGTTCTTTCATAGGCGATGAAAACAGCGGCGACAGTGAGGTGGATGTGACTGATAATAGTGGTGCAGCCAGCGAGGCGCAGCGAATTATGCCGGAGAAGATTCTCGCTGTGGCAGAGGTGCCAGCAGCTGCCAGCGAAGGCTGTGCGCGGTCTATGTAAGCCAAAAACACACATCTTAAGATACACTTCCTCATGCCCTCCCTTTTGCAGTCCCTACATGGGTCGCGAGCCCCGAAAGCCACCGGCAGAACCCGCTTTAAACCATCAGGAAGCAGCTCTGCCGCCCGCCACGCTCGTGCCACAGGACACCCCACCGAACGCTACACCTAAGCAGGAGGAGCAGTTGAAATCCCCACAGCAGCCGCTGAGCAGCGTGCAGGCCAGCCTCATGGACTTTCTGGCCGAGAGTTTTGGCGGCGACGATCTCAGCATGTTTAGCAGTTTGCCGGGCATAATGCCTCCACCGCTGATTGGAGCTGGCAAATCCGATTTCTTTATGACGGAAGCATTGCTGGAGTCGCCCTCTACCAGCGGGGGTCTGTTCGACATGGACACAAGCTTTGGCATGCCAGAGACCAGCGAGGAAGTGAAGCAAGCGCCCCTTGTCAAGGAGGACGTGCCAGCAGCTGAGGCGAGCGCAGAGAGCGAGGAAGAGGCAGCAGAAGAGCAAAAGGCAACGGAGGAGAAGGAGCTGCAAGCCAGCTCCAACCAGCAGCCGCGCATAGTGGAAGTCACCAATTACCAGCCGCGCGAGCAGAGTGAGAAAATCAAACAGGAACCCATGGAGGAGGAGCTGGAGGAGAGCGGTGAACCGCAGCAGACTGATTCCCCGCTGTTGGGGCCCTGCAAGCCGAGTGGATTCATCCGCCAACCGCGTCGCAATTGGCCCTGGCTGCAGGAGACCCAAAACTCCGATGAAGTGTCGCTGCCCAACGAGAATCTCGCGCTAATGAGCGTGCACGAGGAGCAGCAACTGCATCAGCGGCTGCACAAGATCTTCGCGCTGGAGCAGCAGTGCCAACTAAGCATTCCCGCCTACGTGCGTCGCCTCTACCGCAAGCTGTGCCTGCGCAAATGGAAGCGAGAGCACAACAGACCCATCTTCAACCTGGACGAGCACATAGATGCCACGGCCAGGGTGCAGCAGGCACACATACTGGATCGCTTTCACCTGCTCGCGCACTCGCAGCAGCACCCCAAGAGTTCGTTCTATGCGCGGCTGACGGGCTCCACGCAGTACGAAATGTTCGAGTCGCCGTACACGCAGCGCGTCCTCCATCCGTTCATCTTTCGCAGCGAGACAATGGGCCCACCGTGGCTGAAGCTCATGTGCGAGCTGCAGCATCGCGTGAATCGCTGCCATCCCGCCCGCTCGCCCATTGACTTTTGCTACGTGCGACCGCAGCATATACCAGCAGTTAATGCGCTGCTTCAGAGCTCCTTCTGGCCGAACATTGATGGTGAGAGTAGCCCCAAAACTTACCCCCTGTAATCCGCTTTAATCTGTTTCCTCTCCTGCAGTCAGCGAATGTCTCAGCTATCCGGACTACAGCGTGGTGGCCCTCTACAAGAAGCTCGTCATTGGCTGTGGCTTTCTCGTGCCCGATGTCGGCTACAACGAGGCGTACATCTCCTTCATGGCTGTGCGCCCGAACTGGCAGCGCAGTGGCATAGCCAGCTTCATGCTTTACCATCTCATACAGACCTGCATGTCCAAGGACATCACGCTGCACGTGTCCGCCAGCAATTCCGCGGTGATGTTGTACCAAAAGTTTGGCTTTAAAATTGAGGAAATTATCGTCGACTTTTATGACAAATACTTGCCACTAAACTCAAAGCAGAGCAGGAATGCGCTGTTTCTGCGTTTGCTCAGATAAATAGATTCAAATTTTAAATGGAAATCGATGCCCCAAGTCGCTCGCTTTATTATTATAAATTCTGTGCGAATCCTAGGCAAATATTTTCTCCTCTCTGCGCTTTTTGGTCACCACTGTGCCGGGCTTGTGCTGTGCCTCTGGGTGATTGGTCAGCTCGGGTGGACATGTGGACACCGGACTGGCTGTCACGCACTGCTTGAGGTCGTAGAACAGACCGCTGTCGTCCTTGGTGACAAAGGAAATGGCGCAGCCAGTCTTGCCCGCACGACCCGTGCGACCAATGCGATGCGTGTAGTCCTCAATGGACTTGGCCATGTCGTAGTTGATGACCAACGAGACGTCCTTGATGTCGATACCACGTCCAGCCACATCGGTGGCCACCAGAATATCCTTCGCTCCCGATTTGAGCGCTGCCAGCGCGTACTCGCGCTGCTCCTGGCCCTTGCCACCGTGCAGCGTGCAGGAGTTGTAGCCGAGCTTCTCCAGTCCCTTGGCCAGCACATCGGCGCCCTTCTTTTGGTTGACGAAAATGATAACCGGCGGATCGATCTTGCGCGACAAAATCTCCATGAGCTTCTTGCGCTTGTCGTTCTCGCCCATCATGTAGACGATCTGTTCCGTGCGCTCCGTTGGCTTGCCCACAGAGCCAATGTAAACGGTCGACGGACGTCGCAGATAGGAGCGAGCCAGACGCTCCACCGCCGGCGGCATCGTTGCCGTAAACATCACCGTCTGGCGGTACTTTTTCTTGGTGTAAAAGTTCTCCATCAGCTTGTTCTCATCCTCGGCCTCCTCGGTGTCCGGCTTGAGATTGGTGACCGGCATGTACTCGAGAATCTTTTGGACGTCCGGCTCGAAGCCCATGTCTATCATGCGATCGGCCTCGTCGAGCACGATGTAGGTGCACTGGTTGAGCACCAGGTAGCGATTCTCCAGCACATCGATGAGACGACCCGGCGTGGCGATGACAATCTCACAGCCCAGACGCAGGCGGAAGCCTTGCTCCTCACGCGACAGGCCGCCCACCACGACCACAGTGCGTATGCCCAGCGGCTGGCCGAACTTGATGGTCTCCTCCTCGATCTGTTGGGCCAACTCACGCGTGGGCGCCATGATAATAGCATACGGGCCCTGGTCCACATCCTCGAGCCGCTCGATTTTGGGCAGCGACTGGATCCACGAGAGCAGGGGAATGAGGAAGGCGAGCGTCTTGCCGGAGCCCGTCTCGGCCACGCCAATGATGTCACGATTCTGCAGGCCAATTGGTATGGCCTGGCGCTGAATGGGCGTCGGTTCCTTGTATCCGACCTTGTCGATGATGTCGATGATCTCCGGCGGGAAGCCCGACTCGTTCCAGCTGCGTATGGGATTGGGTATGCGGCCGCCCTTGATGGTGATGTTGTAGTCCTCGCGGAAGATGCGCCAATCGCGCTCAGTCATCTCATCGTTCTCCTTCTCCGACCAGTGGCGATCGTCCCACTTCTGCTTGTCCTCCTTGCGCTTCATCTTCTTCAAGCGCACCTTCTCCTGCTCCTTCTCGGCCTCGGTGCGCCGCTTCTCCAGCAGATCCCCATAGAACTGACTCTGGGTGCGCTTCTGCTCTTTGATGTCGATGCCTGCCACGTTGCCGCGTCCAAAGAACTGCACGTGGTGCCGCTCCTTGTACAGATTGTTGTAATCTATGGACGTGTCCTCGCCAGCATCCCAATCAAAAACGAACTTGCGATCGTTGAGCCGCCGCACGCGTCGCTTCTTCTTGACAATGCCCAAATAACGCTCGCGTATGGCCTCCAGCTCCTTTTCCTTGTCCTTGTGGGTGAGATCTTCGGCGCGTTTGTTGTCCCTGTCGCGGTCCCCTCCGCCTCCACCACCGCCATCTCCGCCATGATTTCCACTGTTGTTGTTATTGCTGTTGTTATTGTTGTTGCCACCCCTGTCCCCTCTGTTGTTGCCGCGCTCACGTCTCTCTGGGCGCGTCGGTGGCGGTGGCATGGGCGCCGATGGTGCTGCCGTTGCTGGCGCTGTGGCTATGGACATGTTTATCTCTCTGGGCGCTGACATTAGCTCGCGGGCGGCATCTTGAGCGGCACGCAGACGCTCCACCTCCTCCTGGCGACGCTTAATGGCCTCAGCGGCACGCTGCTCCTTGGTGAGGAACACGGGTTTGGCTCTGGCCTCCTCCTCGCGCTTCTTTTTGTCCAGCAACTCTTCCAGGGAGAGCGGCTCCTTCTTTAGCTTGTGGTCCTGCTTCTCATCGGGCATTTCCTCATCCTCCTTGCCATCTGGCTTGCCCGAGTTGGCGCTCCCATCCAGCTTGGCTCGCTTCTCCGGCTCTCCCGAGCGCCCACCCCCTGGACCACCGCGTTCACCACGTGAACCACGATCTGGCCCATTGTTATCCCTGGGCCTCTGGCGATCTGGGGAGCGACGTCTGATGCGGTCCTCACTGTCAAAAGTGTTCATTAGCATGCAGCATTCACATAAATTAGGTTCAATAAAACTCACCGGGAACGAGAACGCCGCTGGCGTCTGTCCCTCTCTCTGTCGTTTGGTCTGTCTCCACGTTGCGGCTCCCTGTCGTTGCGTGGTCGTTCCCTCTCGCGCTCTCTTTGGCCAACGTTCTGCTGTTGCTGACGCTCGTCCCGGAAACGTTCCCGCGAGCGCGAGCGACGCTTTTTATCATTTACCATAATTCGTGAAATTGTAAAACAAAATTTTCTTAAGAACAGCTGGGAGTAACTAGTGATGTGATTGATGTTTCAATATATCGATATGCACTAATTGTCGATAGCAAATTTCAAACTGGACTGGCTATATTAGACAATACTGCAAAGTATTAACATGAGAGCGCACTTGAATCTAGTTCAGTGCGACACAAACAACTAACGGACTAACTTTTTAAGCAGATGTTGGCTACTACCACTAACCAAATAATATACTATTTGGTATACTATACCAACTATACCAACCAACTGGTATACTATACTATTTGGTTAGTGCTACTACACTGCATTAAACCATACTTGCAGTGGAATGTTAATAAAAACATTAGAGCAAATATGTAGTGAGAGGGCAAATTAAAACAAATGTATATATAATGTATATATGTGCTTTTGCATCTTACGATTTTTCACCACACCGGTGCTGAAGCTTTGTGAAAAGCAGCTATCGATTACTGCTTGCAGACCTATCGATACACCCACACAATAAACAAAGGCGGACGGACGGGCACACAAAGTTAGATATTATTATTATTGGTTATTGCTAGCAACTTTAGGCGTTCTGGAGCTACGCGCTACTCAACCTCCGGCCGCGATGAGCAGCAACACGGATCAGGAAACGGCTCCGATAGCCGCGCCGCGCAACGGCAGCGCTGGCAGTGTGTTCCGCAGCTTCGGCTCCCTTTTCGGGGGAAACAACTCGGACACCAACACTCGCCCCCAAACGCCGCAATCTGGCGATGGCTATGTGGAGTTTGGGATGCAGAATCCGGAACGGAGTGGCCGCACTCTGGGCACCTTTGCTGGCGTCTTCAGTCCGGTGGCCCTCTCAATGTTCAGTGCATTGGTTTTCATACGTGTTGGTACGTAGAATTTTTGTTGCTGCTGACGTGACGTCATGATCCAACCGACAGACACTTGTTGTAGTTGGTCCATTGAACTTGTCTCTTTCCCCCATCTCTAACTCGATCTGTGTCTGTGCCTGTGGTGTGTGTGTGTAATCCGATTAGGTTATATTGTGGGCAATGCGGGTCTGTACATAACTCTGCTGCAGTTCCTCATCGCTTATGGGATTCTACTGTTTACGGTGGCCTCTGTCTGCGCCATCTCCACCAATGGAGCCATCGAAGGCGGCGGCGTCTACTGTGAGTCATAGTCCATGCATTTCTCTGGCATGATCTCATGCTTTAACCCTTTCCAGTCATGATTAGCCGCACTTTGGGCCTGGAATTTGGCGGCTCCATTGGCACCTTGTTCTTCTTTGCGAACGTCGTCGGCTCGGCCATGGCCATCTCTGGCTGCACCGAGGGCATCATGGATAACTTTGGCCCGGGCGGACACTTTGTCGGCGACGGTGCCACCCTGCCCGATGGCAAGTGGTGGCGCTTCCTCACCAGCAGCATCATCAACACCTGCCAGCTGCTGGTCTGCCTGGTGGGTGCCGCGCTCTTTGCCAAGACGTCAGTGATTATTTTGGGCACGGTGACCGTCTCTCTGCTCGCTACGTACATCAGTTTCCTGGCTCTGGGCGGCAACAATGACAAGGTAGGTAACCGCCCCTTCTCCCACCCATCACTCATTGACCCAAAGCCCTGTCAGGCTTATCAATCTATGACTATATCGTGTATTCCATGCTATGCCATGCCGATATCTAGGCTATCTATGGCTCATGTGGATCATTTTATTTTTCAAAATTAAATTTTAAGGCAATGCAAAAATCCCAAAAAAATAGTGATAAAGAGTGGCAGTTTCTTGTAGTTTCGTTTTATATTTTAAAGCGGAAACACACACATTTATTACGATTATGATTTAGGCAGCAGTTCTACAAAAATTAATCATATTTTGCTGCAAGGGAATTCCATTTGTAACGCCCATCTACATGCTGGAATTGATGTATCATTGAAGAGCATTAAGTTCTTAAGAACTGGCGGTACTGAAAGTGTTATTTTAATTAATTATTTATTAGGTTTTAGGATGCTTTCATTGAGGATTCATTGCATCTAAGAAGAACTAGACGCCGTGGTAGTTATTAGGGATCAAGATCATGTCCCTCTCCCCATAGAGATATATCTTTCATGGCTCTACAACAACTAATTGCTTACTAAACCCACTCACTTTTGTATAAGAATATTCTCGGTTTTCTGTAAGAACCGAGTAAAAGTCTCACCAAAGATACCTTAAACATTCCATAACAAAAATCGGTAGATTCCGAATAAATATTCAGCCTTTTTCTGCATTCACTTTTGGCATTTTCTAACCATTCCTTAACAACACATAATTCCCCCAATAAATCGCAGCATTATTACAGGAATTAGCTACCACAAAATTCAATTTTATTCGCACATTTTTTCCCCCTCTTCAGCTTTTTTTTATCTTTCCGGTCAGTTCTTGTGGGTTTATTTTATTGTATAATTCCAGTTTCAAATATCTAAAATAAAAAACCGAACCGAGCCGACAACGATAAGAGCCCCAGGGCTTAAAGCAAAGTAAAATGACGATTCCTGTGAGTCAGCAAAACTGATTAGAAAATAAATAGAAATATATAAATATGTAGCATTAATTAGCTTGTACTTGCGATAACCTAATCTGATGGCAATGATAGTAATTTTCGTTCCGTTTTTGTTTGTTTTTTTCCAGATTCCGGTGCCCGTGGAGAATACCTATTATAATCAGTCTACGTTCCTACCGTACACGGGTCTAAGTGCGAATACACTGAGCGATAATCTGGGCGCGCAGTATGGCCACGATTACACATCGAACAATAAGATGGTGGACTTCTCCACGACCTTTGGTGTGCTGTTCTCCGGTGTGACGGGCATCATGGCTGGCGCGAACATGTCCGGGGAGCTGAAGAACCCAGCCAAGAGCATTCCCTGGGGTACACTCTCAGCGGTGGCATTTACCTTCGTCTCGTACATCATCCTCTCCTTCCTGATGAGCTGCACCACGCCGGGTGTGACGATGCGAAACAATTACCTATTCCTGATGCCCGTCAATGCGTGGCCACCGTTCACGGCCATTGGCATTCTGACGGCCACCTTCTCGACGGGCTTGAGCAATCTGATCGGATCGAGCCGCATACTGGAGGCGCTGTCCAAGGATCAAGTCTTTGGCTCGCTGCTCAACTTTGTGCTGCACGGCACGTGGAAGGGCAACCCGATTGCCGCCGTTGCCGTCAGCTGGGTGATGGTGGAGTGCATTCTGCTAATTGGCTCCTTCAACATCATTGCGCAGATCAATTCGGTGCTGTTTATGCTCTCGTATCTGGCCACCAATCTGGCCTGCCTGGGCATTGAGCTGACGGGTGCACCCAACTTCCGGCCGCTCTTCAAATACTTCACCTGGCACACGTGCCTCGTCGGTCTGCTGGGCACACTCATCATGATGTTTGTCATCAATCCGATTTATGCTTCGATTTGCATCATTCTGTGCTTGATTTTGGTCATTGCCTTGCATCTGTTTTCGCCTGCCACGCAGGCAGCCCAATGGGGTTCCATTTCCCAGGCTCTGATGTTCCACCAGGTGCGCAAGTATCTGCTGATGTTGGATCCGCGCAAGGATCATGTCAAGTTCTGGCGTCCGCAGATACTCCTGCTGGTTTCCTCGCCACGTTCCTGCTGTCCGTTGGTGGATTTTGTCAACGATCTCAAGAAGAGCGGCCTCTACATCATTGGCCACGTGATAGTAGGTGACTTCCAGAGCGTCGAGGATATGGAGGAGAACCAGCAATGGTGGTCCTTCCTGGATCACATGCGCGTCAAGGCATTCACGGAGGTCACGCTCAGCCGCAGCATACGCGAGGGTGTCCAGCATTTGACACGTTTGTCGGGCATTGGCGCTATGAAGCCAAACACAATCATTTTGGGCTTCTACGACGACGAACCACCCAAAGATTTCTTTCAAAAGTGAGTGCAAAAAGTAAAGGAATGAGCAGTGATAATCATTTATTTGCTTACAGCGGTTCCTCCCCATATAAAACGGATGACTTTAACGCCGGCGAAGTGCACAACTTTCCCATACGACGCGACGGCGATCCAAAGCATTTTAAGGTGCAGGAATATGTGCAAATACTCTGCGATACGCTGCGCATGAAGAAGAATCTGTGTCTGTGCAGGAACTTTCAGCGTTTGGACAAGAACTTTATAGCCATGTAAGTGGGGAGTGTGATTGTCATTGTAGCTCCTTGAATATATATTTTCGTTTCCCTTTTGCAGCAGCAAACATGTCAAGTACATTGATGTTTGGCCCATAAATGTATTTAATCCCACATGTGGTGATCCCTTCGATATGGTCTCGCTGTTCATGATGCAACTGGCTGTCATAATGCTGGCCAAATGGAAGCATCTGCGAGTGAGAATATTCCTCTGTGAGACAAATGATGAGCGAACTGTGGGGTAAGCAAAACAAACTTCCAAAAACTAGCATTTATTTTACATTTTTCCTGGCCTTTTCCTTAGCACCTTTGACACGCAATCACCGCAAATGGAAATCTTCTCAAAGCTGAAGCTGCAACAGTCGCTCAAGGAGTTGCGCATCACGGCGGACATCATAGAGATTGAGGAATGGAGTCGTGACTCGGACTTTGTGCGTCATGCACGCACCCTCAAGCAGTTCACGGCGCAGGCGGACAACACGCTGCCTGAGGACGATGATGGCGATGAGACAATGAATCGTTCGCTGCTCTACATGCAGCGTGCAAATCAAATAATACGCGATCGCTCGGATCAGACGGCGCTATCGTTCATCTATTTGGCAGCGCCACCAAAGCTAACGACAAAAGATTTTGCTGCACGCAGCGCCAGCTATGTGGAGCTGCTCACAGAGCTGACGGCTGATTTGCCGCCCACAATACTGGTGCATGGCGTCAGTACGGTGACCTCGACAACGCTGTAGACTCCAGACTCTAGCAAGCATTTCCACAAGTGATAAAAGCAAAAAACAACCTCCCAACATAGTGCAACAAAAGGCACCCGGAATGAACCAATTTAAACGCTGTCGCTCTCTATTTCTGTGTCTGTCTTGCTGGCAATTTATCAGCTATTGTGTGTGTGTCCCATGTGTGCTTGTAGCTTGTAACAGTGTTCGTTTAATATTAGCACTTGTAGTTGGTTCGTTCAGCACCTCTCACACAGAGATCAGCATTGAAATCAATCATCATATCAGCCGATTCTATAACTTATTTTATCTATGACTAAACGTATCATGTTTTAATCCACCACCCACCCCGATATTAACATTTATTGTGATTCTATCTTCTACTTCTAACCACGAACACGAATAATGATAACCGACAGGCAAACACACAAGTATTAGAGTATTAATTATAAACATTTCATTGTGCACTTAGTGATAACTCCCAACCCCAATGGGTGCAGCGTGCGGCTGTACTCCCAGTTCAATGTACGACTTTGATGAATTATTTTAGATAAATGTTTTTGTGTGCTACTTTTTGGGACAGCCTTAAACTGTGACTACACCCGCATGTAGCACCTACAACTATTATCGATCATAGCGTTTCAATGTAATCAGTTCTTTCCAATATCTAAATAAAATGTAGCTATATTTATTTATGTAATTTATGAGTGATTTGTTTTTGTTTGAGGGAATTTTGTACACTTTTGAGGCATGTGCTGGCAGATTGAGCTCCGAGTTGGGTTTGGGTTTGGCCTAGTGGATGGATGGCCTTGCTCCCCAGTGCCAGCTTTTGCATGGAATTTGGAGCTGCAGAAGATCCGACAGATGGTCATTGAATGGTTTGACCTTGTGGCATGGCTGATTGGTTAATATCAGAGGAACTTCCCATGCAGATGGCTGCTCTCTCTGAGGCTCTAACTCTCTGTTGTGATGTTTTATATTTAGTTACTTATTTAACACAGTTCCCGGTCACTTTTTATGTACATAAATATTCTATCTACGCATTGTAACTGCAGTTTTGTGTATTTTTATATCAATGAAACGGGTTTTGCAGCAATACTTGTAGCACATTCCTGCTTCCTGCGCTCTCTTATCACAGCATCCATGAACACTTAACAATCAAAGAGCTGCAGAGGCACTCTTATCCTTTACAGACTTTGTTTGTGCAGCGTTTACCGCTACCATTAAATGCTTATTAAGATATGGGCGTTAGGGTCGCGCGTGTAAAAAAGGGCACAAGATTGTGATTGCCAGGAGCAGCAGGAGCAGACGTGCCAGCAGCAGCAATAGAGTCATAAATGTCAACAGCTCACGCTCGAGTCCTGTTGTTGCACTATTTATGTGATGACAATTTATGATACTCATCAAGGAAGGTCCTCGGCGGCGGCGGCGGCACTGATTACCTGCAGGATCTCTGTTTGTGTGTCAATAAATTCCCATAAACGACTGCAATTGCCTGACACTTTTTAGGGTACACTTTTTTGGTGTTACCTAAGAATCGCTTTAAGGGTTAGCACCTAAGTTATGGCATGAGTTTTGTGGAAATTGTCGCCTGCTTTGAGCTCAGAAATTACCATACAGACGACCTCCAAGAGAACACATCTTAAATCCCTGTCCCGACATGCAGTCTGGAGTTTTGCACATCTGTGCGGAGACCACAACAAATTTAGTTGGAAACAAACAAATAGTTGCATATAATAATTCATAATTCCAGATTATTACATGGTAATTTGGCTGAGAATGGAACAAATGGTAACAAAGGCAGCCACAGCTCTGTGTCCATTGTTTTTGGTAACTCTCAGAAAATAAAAGGTTCAAGGATCAAGTGCGTGAGTACGAGTTTCCCATGGAATTCCTCTTGACTTTTGGTGTGCCCTACTCGTAATCGTATTTTCGCAATTTAGCGCCAAACAACTAATCCGCAAAACGAAAACGATTAATCTGACAAGAGCGGAGAAAACCCAGAAACACGCAACCAACAGAGGGACTACAGAGGGATTATCATCAGGTGAGCTATTGTTGAGAGCTCGAGAGAGAGGTTTCCCACTTTCAACCAGAACCGCCCACCGATCTGCTACTCCTACTGCCTTTTGTTGCTATTTTGACAGTCAAAAAAAGAGCGAGAGAGAGATCCTGCTGCTCAGGTAGTCCACGCCAAATGCTAATAGGAAATGCCAGATCCAGGCATCGTCGGGATTTTCAGTGCCCTCTGCTCATGGGCGTTGACGATCTTTAGGCTATCCGCGAACCTTTCTATCGAATATTGCAGCATAATGCTTGAGTCAGGCCTCAGTAGAGGGACCTCGATCTGCCACTAAGCTGCGGTCGCGTGGCACTCTTGACAAAGTCCATCGATCAGATCCATCAGCGATCATCTCCTGATGGTCAGTGGCTGCAAGATCAAACGTCAGCGATCGGTTGTCCTTTGTCGGCATCCTCCACCGCTTTGTTCTTGACAATTTGTGTGAAATACTCGTAGATGGTGCACTTCGTCCATCATTTGTACAATTTAGCCATGCCTGGCGCTTCTACACTGCCCTACGCTTCTAGTCCCCTGTCTTCCCAGTGTTTTTCCCAATTGTTTTGGATGTTTTCTATAGAAAGTCAGCAAACTGTTTGAATTGATTTTACTCTTTTGATGGCTGCAGTTCAGCCTCGACTCTCTGAGTTAATTAACCTTTCGTTGCGGCCACTTGAAAGTGGGCTTGAGCCTGGAATGATCCATGTACTGATTACTGTATAGAAAGTAGAGCGAAGCGAAGTAAAGGAATGTGGCTGGGAGGATTATATTTGGGGTGAAGGGTATATGAATAGATATATTTTAATATTTAAATAAATTCACTTGCATTTGCTTAAATCTCCGATCAAACCCCAATTGGGTGAGGGAAAATAATAAGTGAGAAATAAAGATAAAAAGCTATCTTTGCATATGCATAGTTAGCATATATTCAAACAGAAAGCTATAAGGAGACTTTACTATAGATCTCTCCCATATAGAAGCATCGTATTCCTATTATTATTATTATGTATTTATTAATTTTTTATTAGCTGCCACAACCGGCGTGTAGTATGCAACGTTATTGAGCTGGTGGACGNCCCTCAGCGTATTGCCAACAAAACGTCAATGCGCTGCTGCTCTGGCTGAGTGTGGGGGGAAAGCGTAGCGAAGCCCTGTGGGGGGGAAGGAATACAGCCAAGAGCTATTATAAGAACCTTTGTTCGGGTCTCTCCCACATTGGACCTACCAATCTTTCCGGGATTTCCGTGGATAATTATATTTCTCTTCTGTCGTGGAAGGCGTGGATTGAACGCCAGTCCAAAAAGTTTGGGATTGCGTGGATAGCACGCTCGCCCAAAAACGTTGGGATGGCTCTAGGCCAGGTGAAATTTAAATTCACTGATATTTATATTCACTGCACGGCGTTCGTTTATTATTACTTTTTCACACACACGTGGTTGGTCGGAAAAAAATTAACTCACTATCGGACGGGTCACGAACCGATCAGAATTTTAGATAGACGAAAAGAAGAATTTTTCTGGGGCTCGTCCCGTTTAAATGCGATCGGAAGTGCTAAAACCGTGTTCTAAAAGCTTATGTTGACAGCTGTCATCAACGAAAGCTTCACCCAATCANTACTTTTTCACACACACGTGGTTGGTCGAAAAATTAACTCGCTATCGGACGGGTCACGAACCGATCAGAATTTTAGATAGACGAAAAGAAGAATTTTTCTGGGGGGGTCGTGCCGTTTAAATGCGATCGGAAGTGCTAAACCGTGTTCTAAAAGCTTATGTTGACAGCTGTCATCAACGAAAGCTTCACCCAATCAGCTGATTTAACAGCTAAGCTTTGCTGAGCTAAGCTTTGATTCTGTCAGCATAATTTATCTAACTTTATCGCATGCGATAATATCATTTGCTGCTTGTAATTATTTTGTGTTCAGCTGCAACTCCCAGCGCCACTACAACACCCCCCTGCTAAAATCACACTTTACAGGGTGAAGGCATGGAAAGAGTGATCCGCGCTGGAATTACTTTAATCATTATTGCCTCAAATCTTTTGCGTGATATTTTCCAACTAAACGACCTTGCAAATCCTCAATTTCGTAGTAGCTATTACCCAATCTAGCTCTCACTCTTGCCTTGATGAAACTTGGAGCCAGTTTGGCGTTGAAGCCTTTTGCAAAATTACTTTGTTGAAAGTTACGACGGAATAATTCCTGACCAACTGCAAAAGAAACTTCTCGGCTTCNAAAGCTTATGTTGACAGCTGTCATCAACGAAAGCTTCACCCAATCAGCTGATTTAACAGCTAAGCTTTGCTGAGCTAAGCTTTGATTCTGTCAGCATAATTTATCTAACTTTATCGCATGCGATAATATCATTCGCTGCTTGTAATTATTTTGTGTTCAGCTGCAACTCCCAGCGCCACTACAACACCCCCCTGCTAAATCACACTTTTCATGGTGACTGCATGGAAAGAGTGATCCGCGCTGGAATTACTTTAATCATTATTGCCTCAAATCTTTTGCGTGATATTTTCCAACTAAACGACCTTGCAAATCCTCAATTTCGTATTAGCTATTACCCAATCTAGCTCTCACTCTTGCCTTGATGAAACTTGGAGCCAGTTTGGCGTTGAAGCCTTTTGCAAAATTACTTTGTTGAAAGTTACGACGGAATAATTCCTGACCAACTGCAAAAGAAACTTCTCGGCTTCGTTTGTTATAATTCCGCTCATTTCGAATGCGTTGTCGCAGCATGGACTGTTTTGCCTTTGAGCGAATCAAGTCGAAGGAATCCTCCCTGTTAAACTGCACAGTTCTATCTTCCAAAAGTTCTAATCTGCGCAAGAGGTCGTACTGAGATCCACTCGTAACCATATGTTGACCAAATGCCATACGATAAGGGCTGGAACTTACACCTGAGTGAACGCTTGAACGCAACGAACAGCATATATGACTTAGCTGTTCATCCCAGTTCTTCTGATCCGGTTTTATGTAGGATTTTATGGCGGCAATTACCGATCTATTTACCCTTTCAGACGCATTGCCTTGAGGAGCATAGATGGCTGTATAGCAATGCTTAATTTTGTATTTTTCCAGAAGTGCATTGAAGCTATTGGACTTAAACTGGACGCCATTATCGGAAACAACAACCTCCGGAACACCGAAGCAGTGGAAGATATCTTCTTCGAGGAAACGAATGACAGATTCAGCTGTGAATTTTTTTACTGTTTTCAAGAAAGGGAATTTAGAGAAATGGTCTAGCACCACAAATATACCAATATTCCCTGAGCGACTCCTAGGGTAAGGTCCTAGAAAATCAACAAATAGCTTTTGGAAAACGCGTTGCGTTTCAGCCGTTTTGCCTAGGGGCGGACGTAAGGTATAGTTAGGATACTTCGTGCATTTACACATATCGCAGCTATTGATGTAATTTTTCACGTCAGTTACTAAGTTTGGCCAGAAAAAATATCGACGCAGTTGATCAAGG